GCATTCAGAGCAGAGCTATTAATAGTTTGCAGATTTGGTTTCTGTTAATTACCTAATATATATTTTTATTAGGTTCTCTCAATAAACAAGTCAGTATGGCAAGTTTTTCTTTTGCTAAGTGTTAAGTTTGGATACGGTTTTCATATTTTTCCTGTTCTTATCATGATCGTTTTTTGTGTTTAGATTGCAAAGTTCAGCATACATTGCTGTCACATTATCAGCTGCGCACGATCTGCAGTATTATTACCAATACCAGCAAAGCCGATGAGTCAGCTGGGCCATTACAACATACAGACGATCACAATACTCCTCGTGCATTATTCACTGGCATAGTTGACACCAAGCACAGGTTAATATAATTGGAGCTGTTGAATTCTTTGACGATATGGATGCGCTCTTTAGACTTGGTGGTTCCATCCAGCCTGCAGTACTCCAGACCATCAGCCATGCAGTAGCTCTCTAGAACATCTAGGAGCTATAAGAGGAGACCTCAGACTTAGAATGAGCCCTTCATGTCTTCATAGTGGGTGGGCCCTCTTCCACTAAGTTGGGCTGTCATGTTTCTACAGTAGCCCAGAACAGACAAACCAAACACTGGCTCTAGTGCCCATGTGTCAAACACAAGGCTCGCGAACCAGATCAGACCCTCGACACAATTCTCTTCGGCCCGCCGATGTATGTTAAATTTCCATTTATATCAGCCCGTTTCATAATGCGCTGCACTACAGTCCCCAGCATGCACTGCAGTGTTATGTGCACTCTGACTCTCCTACCCCAACAATAGTCTATGGGACAGTGGTTACACCTCAATTCTACACAGTTCTACGCAATTCCACATCAGTCATATCACCAAACACAGTAGCTGCATTTCAGCTGCAGCTCAGCCAACATAAACACTTGACGTCAGCTCAGCAGCTCAGAAACTTGCAGCAAAGAAAAGTCGCCAAGTGTCTAGTTCAAGCACATAGGTAGGTTTAAAAGGCCGAGCTCCAGGGGACATTTAAATTTTGAATATTTTAAATATTCATGTAATATTTCAAGGTCTACTACAAGTGGCTGGATTTTACTATTAAAGTTTTTGCAGCCTTTGAACAAACAACGGCCAGTTCAGGTTAGAGCACAACATTAGTTAAAAATAAAATAAAAACATTTGTTTTCCTCTGGCCTGCAAATTTGTTGAGATTTTCTAAAATGGCCCTTTTACTCGTTGAGTTTGACACCCCTGCTCTAGCACGACTACATGTGGAGGTCCCAGGTTGGGAGGAATTCTCTGGCTGTGTTTTGAGAATTAGTACCTAGAATTAATAAAGTTACGTCAGGGGAGAGAGCCTTCTCATACAAAGCCCCCCAGCTTTGTAATAGTCTTCCTGTTAATGTTTGGGCCTCAAACTTTGAGTATCAATAGGCAGAATATGTTAAAAACGGCTATTTGGTCAAGCTGGCACACAGAGAATACCATTTGTTGACCTACACAGATCACAGATCTAACAAAGGTATTAAAGTCAAGAAATGGTACCTCCTCTCTTAGATAAGCTGCAGCTCCTAAACATGTTATTCAAACACACAGTTTACAGATTGGTACAGTCTCAGTTTGTGCAACCAGATAGAATGTGATTGTTTTGTATTTATGCTTACATGTTTACTAGTCTAGGTGACCTGCTAATAGTGACACTTGACAGCACAAAAAAAAATTTATTTAGTCTCACAAAATGATGCAGTAAAATAAACAATATTTCTAAAAATTCAGTATTAATTTTAACTTAAAGATTAAACAACATTCACTCACTCTTCTTAATCACTAACCTTTATCAGACCTTCACAGCTGTCAGACTTCTTCAGTTTTTTCTCCCACTGTTTGCCTGTTTGGTAACACGTTAGTTTTATTAAACTCACATTTTTCAAGAACTGCATGATCAGTCAGTTCATTTTTTGTTTGAACTGGCAAAGATCTACTCACCTGACGGGCCTTCTATAGAACGGCAACCTCCTAATTACCATCTACAGATTTCAGGGAATTCAGGGATTTAAAAATGCGTTATGACCAACACAACACCAGTATTTGCTATATATAGTAAAAACAATACATAGTTAATACTGGTGTGATTGTTTCACAATATTTAATAGAAATATGAAAACATTATCTGTGAACAATCATACTTTATAGCCCATCCTCTTCTTCTTTTCATTTTTTTTTTTTTTACCTAACTTAAAGTTAACCTAGCTAGCTAACAAGCAACAGGCTAAAACTCAATAACCAGCTACACTGACCAAGTGCGCACAAACCCATAAACAGATATCTATCTACCCTCACTCTGTAACTACTTACCGTTTTGCTCTGTATATTGTGGTATCAGTGAAGAAGGTATAGCAGGCAGATAACTTCTTCATTAGTAACCCACACAAACACCACATGTGCATAGCTTTAACCGAACTTATTTGTAACTAACTTATTTACAAAAAATCTCCATCCTACCTTGAACATGGCGCCTCCCAAGAGCCTTCTCACATGGTCACTCTGCGTGGCCACGCCTCTCACGAACCTGCCGCAACACAAGCCAGTAGTTGGACGCTACGCCCTCCCTTCAAAATGAACCGTCCCAGTGACCTCGGAGTTTGAGCAGAGTGCCTAAAGAGCATGTGGGTTTCAGAGTGTCCAGTTCCAGTGAACACACATGCTCCTCGGCTACATGCACACGGGTGTAAGGGGCCGCTCAGCTATGCTGAAATGGCCGAGTTAGCATGCAGGTCACTTCTAGCGTACACCTTCTCCCGATGCTGCACGAACTGCCCAGCACAGAATAGCACATACAACACATTTACACATAATTTAAGCTAACAACATTACTTATTTACATTTCAGCCTCGCCAACTGCAAACGCGGCGCTTCCCAAGAGCCTCCTCACACAGCCAGTCTGCATGGCCACGCCTCCCACGGCAGCATGAGCACATTTTTAATCATGCCTAATCTTTATTTTAGTACGCTTGTAGATCGAGTCAAAACTCGAGTCACAACATTAGCAGTTGCTGACAAACGTTACTTTGCAGAGTGAGTTGCACCAGAGACCCTCCCCCAGGTCTGATATGATTGCCTTACAATTTACGAGGTCTGATATGATTGGCTGAGCTGGCATTACGCTTTTCCCTAAGGCTAAACAGCAGAGGACAGTCGTCTCTTAAGCCGTCTGTTAAGATGAATCTCCATCGCCGAATACGGGTGGAGTGTTCACACGGGTCAAAACGGAACTACAGACAAGGGTGTGGAAAGTCCTCACCAAACAAAGCGCCCTGAGAAACTTCTCCATCTCTGCCTCGCGGTCTGCATCGCGCGCCCATCTCAGACTGATGACGTTTAATTAGTCCACGGCTGCGACGTTTTTATTTGTACGTCTCTATTAATATTTATATTGGTTATAATGTGAAAACGGTTAATTTATATATCTTTTAATTATTAAGTTAATCTTTTCCCACTTATGTTTTTATGACCTACAGCGCCGTTACCAGCCCAGTACGAATTACTGCCTCACTCTGAGTTCAGGCCTGCGGACCACTAGAGGGTGCTTCACGGCCCACTGGTGGTCCGCGGACCATAGGTTTAGAAACCCTGCTGTGCAGCACTGAATTCTAATACACTTTTACCCGAGCAGAAACAGCCAAAACAACCTCAACACCAAATCAATTTAGCACACATTAGACCTTCACCATCTCTCAGAAACAGCGAATGAAAGTGAGGTAGAGCAGATTCCTTCCCTTCACTGCAGACAGATCTACACACATACACCTCCTTCTCTTAACTCATTCAGTTCTAAGGAAGAGAAGGTGAGAGACCCCAAAACACTCGCCACCCACCACAAACACGCACACCCCTCTCCTCCCCATCTGATCTGTCAGGCTGACAGCCTTCAGTAATTCATTACACCTGAGCTCAATCAGTCTCCACGAAACAGAGGTGTTATGCTTAGAATCATCCAGCAGGTGGAGCCAAGAGCAAAACCAAAAGCACCTGATCTCTCTGAAGTAAAGCTAAAATATGAAACATACGGGTGTATAAGCCATAAACTACCTTTCCTTTATTTCACTTATCGACAATTATGTTATTACAAAAAGCCAAAAACATACGTCCAACAGATAACTACAAACATGCCTCCACAAATAAATAGCAGCTTTTACAGTATGTAGTGTGTCCACTCTTAGTCTTCATTACAACGTCCTTTCTTTTCAGGACACTTGCTTTCTGTTTTTCAAAATCTGCAGGGATGTTTTTTCACACCTCCAAAGTTCAGTCTTAGAAGTTGGTTGCATTTTCTGCTTCTCAAGGTTGAAGTAATTCCAAACACATTCAGTATTGGTGAGATCTGGACTCTGGGGTGGCCAGTTCATTAATCTAAGAACATCAGCATTTGCTTTGTTGTTTTTTTTTCTTTTTTTAATCTATTTTCTCATTAAGGCTTCTTGAGGCTTTGACACTCTTAGCATTGAACTGTCTTCTCACAGTGGAAGGATGTACAGAAACAATTTTTGTTCAGATTTAAAGCAAAAGTGGACAGTAATCTCACCAAGATAGAAGCTTTAAGTACTGTTTTTGTACTGTTATGTTTTTTTCACTTGTTTTCCTTATACAAGTGGATTATCATGTATCTAATCCCATGATAAACAACTCCTGGAAAATCAATAACCGAACTGAAATAAAAGAAAGGTGGTATCTTGACTTTTCACAGTACTGTCATTTTTATAGATGTGGTAGAGGCTGTTTCTGTGTTCTGTAACACATGAGCTATAAAACATCAATACCTCATACACAGATAATGAGTCAATGATATTTTCTTTTGTAAACTCATCACCAGACTGCAACGACCAACTTGCACTTATGAATCATCTTTCAATCATTGTCAAAGGTCAAACTTTGCAGACTAAACTATTATTTTTCTGTGTTTAAATGACACATGACAAACTGCATGAACTGTTCAACAAAAATAGCAATTAATCACACCCAAAAAAGCATATTTACACAAGTGTTCTTTTATTGAATTGTGTTTTGTCCTATACCACAACTATTCCAGAGGCTCTCTAATCCATCAGGACAGTCAAAAATACATACCAATCTACACAGTGAAGAAAAACCACTTGGTATTTACAGCGTAAACCATGATGAGCTTCTGTGGAAAACTTTGTGTAAGCAAAAGAAAAACAGGGCAAACTAGACATCAGTCAGTCTTCATCATTAACTTCATATTGTGCGCCAGTACCCTGAAATTTAGTCTCATACAAAGCTTTATAAATATAAAATATTAGTTTAGGGCAACATCTCGTAACTATAAAATATTTTATGTAACTAGTGCAAAATAATATACCAAAAAAATGAACACCATATCACCAAATACTTCAAAATAAATGACACAACACAGGCTTTTAGGCAGGGACATGAAAAATATATTATAAAGACAATAATAATAATGATAATAGTAATAATAATAACATTAATCAACCTCCATGTTCAATCTTCTAGATATGGCAAACCTTCATGTATTTGTGTACCAAGCCATTATATACCTGAACTATAGTTCACTCTGGTCATTTATTAATTCTTGGTTTAACCACCAGGGGGCAACACAACATCATTGTAGAAGTAACTTGGATGGACAGTAAAAAGATGGACAGGACAGCAATGTGTTCCAGTGGCCTTAATCACTTCAAACGTGTACTGTATCTACTTCATAGAGTGGAAATGGTGTTTCTATTATAACACTGTTTACAGGGAATGTGGTGCCTTCAACAGTCCATATGAATATGGTAAGAGCTCTGAAGGTAAGGACAAAAGGTAAAAATGAATATCACAAAACAGGTGATAAACACAATTGGAAATGACATTTTTATTCTCAGATGCACCCAGTGCATTCAGCAAAACTCGACGAGCCTCTCTCGTCCACGCTTGACGGTCACTCACACATGTAAGACAAACACTTTACACACATCTCATATGTATAAAAAAAAACAACAGCAACAAATACAACCAGAAAAAATAAGGACAAAATATATCTGTACTTAAATTAATGCTGTACAGTACTGGTAGCCAGTACACAATGCTGGTTTCAATATATGTTTTTTGTTTGTTTTTAAACTGATTCACACAGAGTTGGCCAACCAGCAGCGAACTCGTGCTGTCTGCGAAGAGGAGAAAACATGGTCTGAAAATGTCAGGAGACTATTTGCATCAAGAACGTCTGGATCCCTCTCGAGGAATCATAAGACGACTGCAGCCAAGGAGCATAAACAACACTGCATTGTTTCTCTCCAATCAAACTAAGTCTCTTTTTTTAAAGAAAATAAGCGTACAAAGTCTTTACAAAGAGATGAAAAAGCTGCTCTGAAATATCCAGTATGTGGGCCAGAAGGTCATCGTCTTGTAGAAAGGTGCTCCTCTCTCAGACGCTCCAAAAAAAGAGGAAACAATAATTTCCAGCAAAGTAGAGATTGTCATTTCCCTTCAAAAACAGGGTTACTTCTCACTTTCTGAGGGGACAAAAAGGGGTCACAGCTGGCATGCCAGAAGCATCACTTCATTCACTTGGTTTCTTCAATGGGATTATGTTCTGTTCAGCAAAGAAGACCTGCAAAATAGAGCAGAAGTACAGCTATTATAATCTAGAAATTACAGTAGGTACAGTCAAAGATGGTCCATGAGAAGGAAATAACAATAAAATTCAAAAGGTCTGAATCTGACTCTAATGACCTGCAACAAAAACCAATTCAGCACTTCAGTAACACCACATGGCACGTTTATCATGTCCTATTGTTGGAAGTTTTATATGTGCAACACGCAGCTGCATACTTGAAGAATACTTGCACATTTGTACTTCTTATAGTCATTTCACACCTGACCCACACTAGACCTACACCAAAAGTTTGTAGACACCTGCTCATCCAGGGTTTCTTCTTTAATCTAGGATATACAGGGAGTTCGCCCCCCCTTTGTTGCAGTAACAACATCTAATCTTCTGCTAGGGCTTTATAATAGATGCTGGAACAAAGCTGTGAGGATTTGACTGCATTCAGCCACAAGAGCATCAGAGAATGCAGTTCCACTGCTCCACAGCCCAATGCTGGGGGGGCTTTATACTGCTCTAGTCAACATTTGGCACTGGGCATGGCAACCTTAGGCTCATGTGTGGCTGCTCCAATTCTATTCTCTTCCATTCTATTGGCAATCATTTTCTATGGAGAATATACAAGCTGTGTGAGCGCAAACGAACAAGTGGGTGTCAGCAAGGTGCATCTTAAAGTAGCTGAATTCGCATTTGAAGGAGTGTCTGGATACATTTTGGATATATAGTGTATACTGTTTTAAATGCATTTAGATTATATGCTGAGAATATGAAAATATTGTGACTACATTTGTGCATATGTATTATTTATTTATTCTGTATTATTCAGTTCATTTAAGTTAGCGCCCATTTCACAAAGGCAAATTCCTCTTACATGCAAGCGTACTTGGCCAATAAACCCATTCTGATTCCAACACATCAGCTGACCTGCCGTTTCCCGGTTCTTGTCTACACTGGTCACTAGAGAGTTAATTTCCTCTCACTAAAGCATTGACAGTCACGCTCCGGCCGAGGCTGGAGCACGTTCTGCTGATCCGCACAAAATCTGGTGATGTGACAGATCCTGTCGCAGTGGGGAAAACGCCTTTCTCCATCAGCCCACTCGCTTTATCGCTCTCTCTCTCTCACTTTTTCTCACTCGCTCTCTCTCTGGGTTGGATGGCTGTCGGGAAACGTGACTAAGTGGACAGCCAAGTGTACTCAGCCCTTGCCAGGCTGTGAGGAGGGGTTGTGTTTAGTCATCTATTGCTAACATTATCACTGTTCCACGCTCCCTCTTTTCAATATGGTGGTGGTCCCTTCTGTTTGTACTCAAGCTTTAACGTTAAACACAGTCTGTGTCAAACAAGGGATATCTTCTACTTTCATGAACAGAGCCGCATGTACAAAAATAAAAACACTAACGTTAAGAAGGCAAATACTTCTATGGCTACTTGACTTTGAATGAAATCCTTTTACTGAAGTTCTTCCCGCATAAATGAAATAAACATTGTCTAAAAATGTATTGTTTACTGTTTACACACTCTATGGATACAAAGCTGCAAAAACAATCCCATTTTTTCACTGTTTTTGTGATGCCACAAAAAACAACATATTCACATATATCCACCTGTTCACTACATTCACACTCAAGCTATAAAAAGTTTTTCTGCCTGGACCACTTTTTGAAAGAGGCACAACACGGAACAGCCAATCAGAACATTTGTATGTATCTGCAAAAAAAATGCTTTCTTTACAGTGGTGGTGATAGGAACCAGGGGTTGCAATGTCTTCAACACAAATATAGAGAGTAAATATTTTTTTTACTATCCAAAACGAACCTAATATATGACCCTACATGTGTCTTCTGAGTTTTTATATGTAATGTTGACAATGGCAAAATAGTTATAAATCTGCAGGGGGAAAAAATATTGAGGAACTATTGAGGAACACCCTGCATGTACCTCTCTGCCATGAATGGATTTAAAACAAAACATTTTATGCTAAAATCTTATCTCAGAACTATCATAAAACAGTATCTTAGGCATATCTGGAACCATTTCATGTGATAACTTTCTCTGACAGACATGTTTGAGGCGTTACTTTTTACTGTTGGGTTCACCACACTGTGAACAATTCTGACTGTAAGTTTCTCTAGAATGGAGCGTTTTACATCAAAGCACTCTGATTGACTTTGTTTACATCTTAACTGTTTAATTATACAGAATTTTGGAAAACTCTGTGGAATTCCCCTTTAGGACAAGTTGGAAAATGGTCATGTAAAAATAAAGTTTTGACTGTTTTGATACATAAAACTATACAAAAGTGAACCTCAGGGGGAAATAATAAAGTACAATGAAAAAAAGTTGTATTTCCACTTTATTTTGTACATCTAGCCTAAAAACATGAGGTCATTTTGTGTTAAACCCACTAAGCTTATTAAAAACTAAAAAAAAGGGCATTTGCACTCTGGCATTCAACCAGTTCCTACATCAGCAAATCTTTCAGCCAGCCGAGCAACAAAAATCCAAAAGTGGCCTATTCCTCTTGTTCACCAACACCAGACTTTATTTCATCCCACAGACACAAGTCTGACCTAGATAACACACGAAAGCTGTCAATCACAGGCAGTTGTACAGCTGTGACGAATGAGAGCTCACATACTCACACTCAAACACACTCACACACACCTGAGAGATTTCCATCTGTCCTTCTCCATGTTGTTCTCCGGTCCCTCGCTCTCGTAGGACGCCAGATACAGAGCTGTCGGGAGATAAGAGAGAGGAGGATGTGTCACAAGGCTTTTACTCATGCCCTTGTTTTGTTTTTGACTCATTTCTGTCTCGCCTTTCTCACGTTAGGGAATTCTTTGCGTTTGAGGTAATCCGAGAATACTACGTACTTGTGTTTTTGGCACTGTGTTCTCAAATTGCGCAACTCCTATCAGGTTTGTGTCATGAGAAATGACATGATGGGGCCCGAGGGCAGCGTGTGTCTGTGATGTACAGACGCTACACAAGTTTGAGGTGTGTCTGTTGCCAGCAGGTGAAATGTGTTGGCCTCAAGTCACAATGGTCAGATTAATCTACAGGGGCTTGACAGGGTTGAGACATTTATAAACTGTAAATGAAATTGTCACTAGATTCATCTGGAATAGCATGGAGAAATATAATATTTATTGCTATAGGGTTACAAATATTAGTGTAATAGCCCAGCATCTAACCATTCTGCTCTTCTGTAATATAATAAGTATGTCATCAAATATTGTTTTGAAATACTGGTCAAATCTAAACTTCTGTCTGATGCGGATATTTTTTTTTAAGCAAATCTGACACTAATATGATTCTGATATCATTGTGCATCCCTAACTGATTTTTCATTAGTTTTGTTCCTGGTAACCAATGGAATATCTAGGAGAAACTTCTTTGCTTAATCTAGATGTCAATAAACATATCTTGGTTGACTTCATTGTATAATATATAACTGTAAAAGTCACTGCTTTCCATACTTTTGGCCTATACCTTTGCTCAGCTGCATATTCATAAACACATTAAGTTGCCAATGACACTCAGTATTGTTTCATTGATTACCAAGACACAACTTTGTGGCAACAATCAAAATTAATCTTGCTAGCTCCTGTCAATTACTTGATTGACCATGCACTCATTAAAGGGCTTACCGTCCTCACTGAAGACAGGAGCAGTCAGGAGGTACTGCAGAATCTTGCGGTCCTTCTCAAAGGGGCACTCCACCTTCTTCCAGGTCATGAACTCCCTCACCTGCTTGGCCAACTCCCAGAATTTCTGCAAAACAAAATAACAAAACCAACTGCATATTAGATGTCAGTTCCTTTTTCACTATTCTGCAGACAGTGAAAGAAGAAAGCTCAATCTCAGCACTTGAAACTTCCTCATTCTTTATGACTTTGTTGTATTGCAGCTTAGATTGTGCAGCCCTGACCCATATGTGCATTGTTCATGTGGCAGTTGCTATGCGAAATCAATGTTTTTCTGTACTGTTATGCAACAGTTAAAAATAGATAGCAGTTGTTTCCACTTATGTTAACAAATAAAAAGGAAATGGAAAAAAAAAGAGTACCTCAAAATTGACGTGTCCATTCGGGAGCCGGTTGGCACATCCTTCATTGAGGAAGTAAATGTCTTTGATTAAGAGGCTGAAGAATGGAATGACAATCTGAAAGAGAAAAAGACAAGTGAGTGAGTTATGACGATCTTTGAGGAAGTTATACTTGTTACTAGGCAAGTCTATAAACATGCAGGCAGTATTTTGTTGCTATGAAGCTTTACGTTTAGAAAAGAAGAAGAAAGACATCAACATTGGTTAATGTAAAAGAAAAACGGAAAGGTTGCTTATATTCATCATGAAATGTTTGTACATTGCAAATGGCAGCTTTTGTTTCTCAATGGTGTAAAAAATTAATAACCAGAGAAAAACTACGTTATTTAGAAGTTTCTCATAATGGCAATGATTTGCAAAAGCACAGTAGAAGCGAAGCAAGTGATTCCTCTGCTGTCAAATTAACCTCTGAGGTCACGCTGGATAGTGTAAGGTACAGGTGAGAATTACAAGGCGGCTTAATTAACCTCTAACACACTACATAAAAAGCACAACAGGATCTACCACATTAGTATGCAATTGAAGTGACTGACGTGAGGAGGAGGCTGGTGTCACTTTGTATCTGAGACAAAGAGCTCAGCTGTCACGCAACACCTGAGCTAAGCCCTGTGACAGAGCAAAATGCAAAACAATGCCCTCCCTAAATAGACATGCTATGACGCCTGTGTATACAGAAAAGAACAGAAACAACAGCCACCCTCCAGAGTAAAAACTGCCGAACTTAAAACACAAAGAGACAGGGTGTGAAAAAAATCCAAATTTTAAATGAAATAATCACTTGCTTAGTGCTTAAGGCAAATCAGAGAAACTGAAGTGTAAGTTTAGTTCAATTACTAAGAGAACTTAAAACAAACTTCGAACTAAAAGCCAATTCCTAGTAGAACTTAATGAAAAATGTGAAATTTCTGGTTCTGAGACACAAAAACAGATTTATTATGATTTATTTTTGTTCCTGTGCATCCCTGGAGTGACAGCAATAACCAAAACCAAAACAAACTTGATTTGGGGAAAACAAAGTTTCTGAGTCGTCACTACGGCGAGGAGGGAAAAAAATAACTCAACGATGTTGGGAGAACTCTGTCAACAAACACCCCCCACACCCACTGAATAGGGTAGAAGAGTTGAACATTCCAGAGTTGCTTGGGAACATTCCGTCTCATGACCCCGAAAGTCAGAGAAAGTGGATGTCTTCCCAAAGCATCCTCACATGAGGTTAGCGTTTTCCCTCAGAAAGTAAGAAAAAAGTGACAAAAAGAGTCAAGACGTCAAGCTGACAGAACACAGTGTATTCTGAACAAGCACGTCTGCTATGTTGAGTGGTCATACAAAAGGCTAGATAACTAAGGCTGGTCTTGAGCCCACTGGCTTGGGTCACTCGCGAGCAGAGAACGTAGGAACATTCTGGGAGTTTGGCCTACTGCCATGTTTCTCCAAAAGAGAACAGAACGTATTTTGCGGAGGAAGCAGCACGTCCCCTTCTGACGTCTCGCCCACTCAAGGCTGACCCATTTAAGGCTCGGCCCGTCCGCTCTTAGCCTCATTACATAACTTTCTTGACCAAAGCTGACAGCAGACGTTCTTGATAGCACTGATAAACATGAGGACCTCTGAGGGCAACATTTTAAACTATCTGAGTTAAAGACTTTTCATAGTGTCTATGATCCCACCAGAGTCATCATTTTCTAGCTGGTTGAAAGAGCAGACTGGTGATATGATCTTCCTCAGTGTCACTGTAATCAACTCTTATCACTTCAGAAGCGATTCTGTTTACCGGTTGAATGTTTTAACAGTGCCCAGTTTTGCGTCAAACACTTCAAAAGCTGTTTTCACAAACACGCTCAAACAAAACTAGATTAAGAACACAATTATGTAAAGTTCGTGCGACAAGGCACAGTTGAACAAAGGCCAAATGAGAAAGGCTTACAGAAACAAGAAAGACCAGTACAGTGAGCACATTCTAGACATTTAGAGCAGACATACCTTCTCTCTGCTGCTATGAGCAGTAATAGATCTTTGGGTGGCCCCACGTAGTGCTGTTCTGTAGTTGTAGAAATTGCTGGAAGGGTCCATTTGGTGCTGAAGAGAGACAAAATAGTAGAGCACAGAGTTTATACAAAAGTAACCTGAGGGATTATCTTCATGAACCTATTCCAGATGTTCTCATTATCAAAAAAACTTATGTTACAGTCACAAGCACTGACTTAACCAAAGGCAAAACAAGTCATCCTCATTACAATTCAGAAAGGGACTTTCTTGCATGGGAACCAAGTAAGAAGATCCTTCTTCTGTATGAAGCCTCATGTCCCCAGGACAAGGCTTTTCAACCCACCTTTATCAGATATCCATCCAATGCACCCTACTGTAACACCAGATAGGCCGTGAAATTGGGTACAGGGTCAGGACAAGACCTCTATAAAGCTACAGGAGTGACCTCCATGTGAAACAAAAAAAAGAAACTTCCTCTGAAGATTTGTGGGCAACACCTGCAGCTTTGACTCTCGAGGTTTTGGCGGGTAAGACGAGGGGCCGCCTAAGCCCTTTAATCTCCAAACCCTTAGATCTCAGAGTGTGTGGAGAAAGGGAGAATACTCTTTTTTACTGTCGACTGTTTACCGCAGCTAAGGTACAATGCTGTGTGATTTGAGAGCATGCAGAGCATAAGGCGGCAACTCCCTCAAATCTTCTATCGGAAACTCTATTTGCACATCAAAATGCTAAAAAGCTCCACAGACTTAGGAAGAACCCTGTGGTTGGGAAGGGGTGAAAGAGGGAGGGGAGAGAGGTTTACTTTTCACTAGTCAATTATCCAGCTCATTGCCTTTGCCAGTCTAAAGACAAAGCAAAACCTTAGATAAGACCATTTCTAGACAGTAAATACACAGTGTCTGGAAAGAATCAAAGGAAAAGTCTTAAATGACTTTTATGACCTTTTATGACTTAAAGCCTTGCCTGGCTGTTTTATAAACATTTTCAAGCCCACTCAAAGGCTGGATTACTGTATTTCAGAATGATAATGGCACAAGAGCGGTAATTCCAGCCCACAGAGGGTTTAATTGGAATGAATGGGTCTTCATATTGTCGGGGGCTGAGCAACCATGCATGTATGACTCACTAGAATAATGGCCAACTAACAGGCCACTTGCACAGCGTCAATTCCATGTGCTTAAAGTGCTGTTGCGCCACATCTTCAGCGGTTTGCCATTGTTGTTTCACTATTATTTCCCACACGTATTATCCCAAGTGCTCCTACACATTCTAATCTCCCTCAGTAATGACTCACATCCACCCACCAGCATTACTGACATGAAAACAACAAATGGGAAATCTGTTGAACAAGAAACAAAAATGCAAGAAATACTAATGAAAACACTACATACCTCTAGAATGTCAAACTTGGCCGTTTTGACTTTGCCCCAAGTCTTCTTTAGCCGTGACACCGGACTCATGTTCATGCCAGCTGTGAAGGACACACAAACACAGGTCAGCAGAGGACAACAACCAACTCCCACTTCCTGCTGCAGCTGCAGTTTCTCAGGCACTAGGCCCATGAGTCTGCAGGAACAATAGCATTAGTGGGCGCATCACTTCTCTCTAACAGTATGGTTGGCATATGGCATTGAGCCTCTATAATGGGGTGGGGTCAGCAGTAGCGAAGCAATGAGGTCACTGGACTGTTCAGGGTATCTGATCAAACTCCCTTTGCCGCACTGATCCCTCTAGTGATGACCAAAACAAGAATCATTCAGTAGGTGTTATCTGATGGCTGAGTGACAATGGTTGTGGATAATCTACTATCTGTAGATTCTATCCTGACTCTCATATGGGGTGTGTTTAGTTTTCTGTTCAGGGTGTGGTAACAAACAAGAGCAAAAAAAGAAAAAAATGTCCATATATTATTTAGAATTGAACATTCTGAAATGTTATTTTGGGTAATTTATCTCTTTGCTACACTCAGAAAATGTGGTCTAACAGCTGAAGAATGTGATGAAAGGAAACCTTGTATCTTCAAAAGGCAAAGGATGAAGGAGAAGGAAAACAGGTTTTTAACTTAATGTCTGATAATGTAATCAGACTTTAGTTCAAATACCTTTGAGCCATTCCAAGTGGTCCATTAATCATTAAATATTAACACAACTTAAAAGGCAGCTGTCATTTTCAAACAACAGAAAAGAATTAAACATGAACAAAATGAAGTTTTATTACGGCAGTGGCGATAAGCTGTTTATTCAAAATAGCAACAATGCCCTTTTTTCTCTATAACAATGCACAAAGGCAGCGATACCATCCCAGACAAACGCTGATACCATCTACAAACAGATAAAGAAGCTCTACAAAAGAAAGCCATTTCAGTGCTGACAGGTGTACGGCTCTGATGTCTTCTGAGACACCACTAACTGTAACAATAGTGCGAATGATGTTCTAGCCAGGGACACGTGCTAATTCATGCCCCATTCACCCAACACAATGTCCTAGCCTCCAAGCAAACGTGGCCCGGTGGCACTCAACCTTTCCCATGACTTGTTTGTTCTCTCGTGGCAACTTTAATATTTGCCCTGCATCTCCAGGGACAGAGCGCTTGTATAAGAGCCCCAGGCTGTCGGGTTTTCGCCTCCAGGGAATGACCAGGGAAGGGACAGCTGGTTCCACCCCCCTCCACCCCCCTTCTCTCTCCTTCCTCTCTTGCTCAGGCTTTCCCTCTCATCTATCGAGTTGGTCAGCTCTGACCATCTGCCTGCAGGCGGCGGCTCCCTCACGCCGGTGCAGCTGCCACCTCCCTTGCCTGTCCACCCGCATAACCCCCCACACCGCCTGATGCATGGGAGCAGCCCAGCACATGAGGACTAAATAACAGTATGCAGGACTAGGGTGTAAACGTCGGAGGGAGCAAATATGTTTTCATATAGATGTCATGGATCACTTCAGTTATTATAATAATAGCCGTTAATTATCAATAAGCTTATTATTCTCTTATGCAGTGTTACTCAAACATATTACCCTGTTAAACTGTGATGTCAGAGGCATTCTTTGAGAGCCAATATCTGTCTAAATGTCTCATATCTGTTCATGCAGTGTTATTGTTAACCCGTTAAAAAGCCTAAATTAAGACTTATTATGCAGTAATTACTATATGCTTAGCTGGCACACCAAATTTAATAGTTTAAAGGGTTGTACAGACTCATGTGTCATGCCAAATCCAGCTTCCCCTCCCAAAACTTATTACTTGTAACAAAGAAACATGCTGCTAAATCATTCACAGAAAAATCATTCAGTCTGCAACAGTTCGACATTCTTATGTTGTGGGTGGCAGAGTATGGATTAGAAAATTATAAACAATCCCACTGAACAGCAACTTGTATTAATCAAACAGATTTGTGGGCAACAAAAGGCTTTCTCTGGGTATAGAAGCAGGAGCACATAGCTGAGAGGAAAATTAAAGCACTTACAAATGATAGCCATGAGAGAGTTGAAGTTGCCAATGTTGAAGCACTCCCGCGCCACATCGATGAAAAACTCAATGACTCTGGCTCGATGCTTTTTCTTCACTGGCTGTATGGTTTAAAAAAGAAAAGCAATAAGTCTCAATTATAAACACTATTTACTGGAAAAAACTGAACAAAACCTCACCACATAACAAGTTATTCCCTATATGTTAATTACAAGCCATTAGAGGACCATTCCCTGAGGCCTGTACAAAATGTATAGTTGCTTTGACGCTTTTGTACTTTGTAATTACACCTTATTATGACGGGTGTAATGGCGTAATTGTCCAGGTAATTGAAGAGGAGAGTTGTTCTGTCATAATAAAAGGCACTCACCATGCAGATCTCAGTGGCTACCAGGTAGCTGAGTCTGTTGAACCACTCCACATACGCCTCCAGGTTGCTGGCTTTCTTGTGATCACTAAAACAGCTCTGCAGAGACATTTTTTGACAGATTACCAACACAGCTTTCAGTGTCTACGGTAAAAAATACAGACAGCTGTACAGCCCAGCAAATATGTAGTCCAATGTATTTCCTTCAGCCTTGTCATTCCATCTTGAACTAATCTTTTTTCTGATCAAGCTAATTGGAGTAAATAGACAAATAAGTCAGGATACTTATATCATGGTGGTTTCTATTCAACGTAAAACATCATTTAGCAGTTATGGTCATTTAAGTAACTGCTCTAGATAACTCGAATGACCAGCGCCTCAACAGAGACTTCAAAAAAGAACGTACATGGTTTATCAAACACAAAAACACTCAATCAAAGCCACAGCCACTGAGATAAACCCACTACTCTCTGTGGGTAGTGACCATTGTCTATTCATGTAGATGCTCTGTCTAAAAGCTTGGGTTTCTTTCTCCCTTTCATTCCTTGCATTCTTTTGGACTGACCAAGCTCTCCCCTAACACAAAGGCCAGTCTTGCCTGATCTCTCTACTTGATGGACAACCTCACGGAGGCATGCCTGAGGATGAGGACTTTAAAGAAACCGCCACGAAGACAAAGGAGAAAACGCAGCAACATGCCATGCCACAGGCCGTTGCCTAGCAGCCGAACATTATTGAGCATTCTCAGACAACGTGGTAGGCCTGAGTGAATTTTCTGATCTTTTTATGCTAAGGCACAGCCACAAGGACACTGTTTTGAAGAGAATTTTTGATTGTGATGGATGGGTGGCTGGAATGTGTGAGGTTCCCTGTGTGAAAAAGGTGACACTGCACTGACCCCAGCCTAACATAACTACTGTTCTTATTGATTTGTCTGGGTATAGTACTTGCAGTCCAAGAGTCAAATAAAAACAAATCTCATTCTTTCAACCAATTTTGGTTTATCTTTTACAGAAAAATATTACCTTTTCATTGTCTAGAGGGTCTTTCTGAACAAACGCCTGGACGAATTCCTCAGGTCCTATGTAACTTAGTCTCTCCTGAAAAACAAACAGGAAGAAAAAAGTTAACGTTTCTGTGCACATCACAAATCAACTGCTTTCACTGGTCACCTTGAACACATTATCGTCAATCTAAATAACAAAATCAATAAGGCCACCAAACACACTTTATCGGCGCCTAAAAGTCGATTTTTCAAACATCACTGTTCAGACAAGGCAGAGTAACAAAGGGTGGTGTGTAAACTGTGAAAAAATCTCACCAGTTCAATGTGGGTGAGCTGTTGGGCCAGGGTGAAGGGGTCACTACAGATGGTCAGGATGTCTCTCTGGATGGACTGAGGCTTGGTTTTCAGAACTGTTAGCCTGTCCGTCACTGTGGAGTTGATCTTCGCCAGGGCTTCTTCGTACTGACTTAGCGTGGTGAGTTTACGGATCAGAGCCTGTGTCATCTGCTGCACCGTTTTGCGATACAGCTATGGACAAAAAGCAAAGAGAAAAAAAGAAAGAAGACAGGAGACATCAGTGCTGAGCTTGCAACAGGATTTACAACCATAGTAGCTTTCAGCACAGGCCATTACAGCGGAATAATTAACAGGAAAAATACTGATGTGGATGTGGCCTGCTAAGATAAGAAAGATGAGGAAAATCAACAAATATTCTTCCTGCAAACATCTGATGATGCAACACTTTCGCTTAAGACAGGCAGTAACAGCAGCGTACACAGCAAAAGATTTTCAGGCGTAAAATGAGAGGAGAAAAGCCATTTCACTTGATTGGTCAGCACTGCCGGGTAAAAGGACTGAAAGTTCTGCTGACAGGGTCCAAAATGGAGTCTACAGTGGGTTACGTAAAGAGTTCCTACAGTGTTATGAAAGAGCAGCACTCTCCATGGATGTCCCTTGAAAGACCTACTAACAGAACCCTGGGTCCAGCAGGCCACCCACTCTCATAACTCTGTCCACCAGTTCTTGTTATCTAACAAGAGCTTGACACGGTTCAGAATGCAGTTGCATAACAGCACGGACAGCAGCGGCTATGGCCCATTTCTCAACATTGACTCCAGTTAAAGAGGTACGGGAAGGGGCCCCTCAAATATCCACATCCTGTCTGTCTGCCCTGGCTGCCAAGTTTAGACTGCCTATAGGCTTGATGAAGTAGGTTCTGTAAATGCGCTCTCTGAACTAGTTTCACTTATTCAGCCATGTGCATTTGTTAAGACTGACAGGCCAAGGGTAAATCTAAGGGAATCTGATTCTTGGAATGGATCACAACCGCAGTCTCGAGTTTGTTCTTCAAACAATTCTAGTGATGGATGTGAGAAGCAAAAAAGGCTGGCCAGGCACATGGGAAATTGAAAGGTAGCCCATCCGTCAATCTAACGATGAGCTGGTAATGACACAGGAGACGTAACAGCCTCTCTGTGACCCAAGAGCCCAGAGGCAATAATGAATAGCACCGCCCCTCAGGAGCTTGTATTCTTAACATAATCTAATTACAATATTAGCTAAATATCTGAGAACACTGTAATATGCAAATAACCCCTCTAACCAGTTTTTTACCATATGCCGTTACCATCTTTACGAGTCACAGTTACAGATTTCAGTGGGTGTTTTAATGTATCAAAGTATATGTGATCCAATAAAAAGTATTATTTTAGTTCAAATGAAGCAGGACAATCATCACATTATTTATTAACCAGTGCATTTTTCATATATTGCAAGATGTTATCACAAGACAATATATAATCACAATTGTAGTATTTTGTCAATATCAAATGTGCTAATTCTCACATTGCAATTAGTTTGACAAGATGAGAAAAAACAGGTGTGGGAGTAAATTTATTCAACATATAAGATAAAAAAACAAAAAATATATCACCTGAAATCACCTAATTATTTAAGTAGCCTGCTTGTTACAGTTCCCTCTGCACAGATAAGGCCAACATGCAAAAGATCAAAGATGTTCTTAATAGTTGCCTCTTTGAGGGCCACCATATGGAGTAGCTTCTGTCTCCACCACAAATAGAGGATGGGGTGATTATTTTTAGAAACAATTCATGGAGATAACTGGCTGACATTTTAAAGCAGCAGGAAGGCTCCTTGCTTGCTTGTTTGCAGAAAGAAAGCTGCTTCTGTCCAAGCCCCATGCTTTAACCCTGGCATGGGTGTACGTGACAGCCGGTCTCGTGGTAGCACCTCAGTTTGAGCTCTGAGTTCAGCCTTCTTTGGTGCAAGCAACAAACCCAGCCAAAGGGTGAAGACTCTCTAGAACTTGCTCTGCCCTCGCGTAAACATGGGCCGTGCAAAAGGCGACCAAATGTGCACTGAACCTACCGGTTAGGCCTAGATCACAGGACTCAGTTACAGTGGGCTCTGCCTTCCCTATATAGATGACCACATCCATAATGACAGTCTCAGCAGACCGAGGACCTGAAGACCACACTGCGGTCTGGAGGCAGATGTTACAGCGTCTATTCTAGGCTCACTGTCCAAAAAACAGTTGTACTGCCACACAGTGTAAATTTTTTGGTTACTGCTGGCTGCCTACATTCAGGATAACGGCTGTAATTGCAATTTGTACCAAGAATGCCCTTGTTCTGCTGGACCTCTAGCCCTGAAGAGTTAGAAATGTTCCACGGTGACCTCGAGCGTACTCATGCCTAGCTCTAAATACATTGTCTATTATGCACATCTGACTGCAGTCAAGTCTAGCACCAGTAACCTGCTGTAAAAGGAAGCTTAGCTAATGCTATTTAAGGGTAAATAGAGTTCACAGAGCAGAAAACACCAGACAGTGCACAGCAATGGGTGACACAGACATAGCATTGATGTATTGTGTGAATGAATGCATTCTTCAGCCTAACAGACAGTACCATGTCTGCTTGGTCACAGATATAGATCTGCCAGACAGAAATGACTTACAGTACAATGAAGAGATTATACTTATCTTGCTTAGGCTACAAACAGAAATACAGCAGTCAAAAAAATGTTTAGCTCATTTTCGATTGGAACATTGATTAGCCACAGGTGCAGCCTGCAAAAGCATAAAAAGGCCACTTGACCCAAAACAATGCGCGCTTTTCTGTGCATGTGCTCCATCCATTAAATAACCAGTGCTCATCACTAACCCTCTTTCTCTTTATTGAGAGTGTAAACAACAGGGCAAAAACAGAAAGTCATTGATCTTCCAGGTCAGGAAGAACTAGATCAATCATCACACATCCACTTATTAGATGAGTCACAGGAGGCTGAAAGCTTTTTTTTCTTTTTGCTTCCAGAAGCTTCATTCACTCTGAACTGATGGATGCGTGTCCTTCATCTTCAACTGTCTTCCCTAACTAGCCCCCTGCTGCTAGTTGTTACGCTAATGCTTTAAACCTGCATGAGACCACTGCAGCAGACTTTGGTAAATCTATTTTTCATTCAATCTCTCTGCACAAAATCAAGCTTCCTCACTGTTGAGGGAAATAACTGTTCAGCTAAGTGAAGAGTGGAAAAAAGGGCCCATCTGGGATATTTGAGTACAGAACATTGAGAGCTGGCTACTTCAACCCTGTTCATGTGGGACTGACTGCCTCAGCTACAGCAGTCAAGAGGGCATAGGCGTAATGGAGGAGAGTACACCTGTGACACGGACTGGAAAAGAAAATCCCAATCACAGCCCTATTCAAGGTAGTTTAATGCCTGTCGAGTGTAATTTATGTGGCGTTTAAAAACTGCAAAAAGTGCAAGCAAGGATGGGCAAAAAACATAAACGATGCCATGATGACCCTCTTTCTTTTCCTCCATGGAAAAATCCCCTTCTGGGAAAATAAACGCTAAGCCAGTGACATTCGAGTCAGCGCTAATGGAACTATTTAAATGCAGCCTGTGGAAGAGCACCAGGGGAGACAAAAGCAGCCGAACAATAGAGCTTTCTTCTCCCTCCACTTGTCAGGCTCGACAAACTGCTTTGGGACTGGAGAAATCTCTCCCCCATCCCCCAAGAACTGACTTTTGCTTTACACCCATGTGTTGTAAGCAACACCTCCACTAGTTGACTGGTATAGAAGGCACACTTTAGCTTTTTTAAGGTACTGTTATCCTCAGGGTGTTGGTGATAAATAAGACACAATATAACACTCATGGTTTTGACACTTTAAGATGGAAGAGAAAAAGAGACCTTAAACTCTTCCTTACACTTCCAAGCTACTACTATCAAAAGCATTTTGCTTGTTCCACTCAAACCCTTAAACAGAGAATATTTGAAGAAAGAACACTCACCTCATCCCCAGTGCTCAGCCGATGTGTGAGCTCTTTCAGACTCCTCATCATCCTCTCATCCCGGAAGTCATAGGGAAATGTCTCTGTCCACTCTGTCAGCAGCTGCAAGATCTTAGGGGCAATTTTCCTGATTCTCACCTACAGATGAGAATAGCAGAAACTGACTTTGAATACTAAATTAAAGACAACCCTCATCATTCTACAACAAAATTTAAGGTTAAATTGTGATCATGCATACTGACTTACCTTGTCTGCCTGAGGGTCGCTGAGTCTCTGATGGTCCATGCAAAAGTGGCACACTTTGGACATGAGTTCATAGGGGTGGATGAAGAGACGTGAACTGAGCAAGAAGGTGAAGATGTATGTCCTCTGTTGATTGAAAGGGAAATGGAATTAATTAAGCAGTAATTTAAATAACATCTTACTTGGCCACAGTACATTAAGGCTAATGCATGGAAATATAATTAAGCTTGATGGGCTATACAGAGTATTTTGCAGTTCCTAAGAAAATATAAGAAATGTGTCCTCACATCAGGGTAGTAGGCCACGGTGGGGACTAAGTGCTGAATGAGGGCCTCCAGAGACCCTGACACGAGGTTGTCGTCATGGTAATACAGGCCCCCAAAGTCCTCCTCTTTTGTCTGGTACAGGTTCTTGTTATAGCCACTGGACGCAAACATCCCTGGAAATGGTGGCGTTTGAGGCATCTTGTCCTGTTGAATGACAAGCAGGATATAATTAGAAAAAGGACCCCCAAAAGCTTCATATCAACTAAAACACAATCAAAAATCACAACAGAGAGTGGTGCATGGGGCGTTATGTTAATGGCAGTCCTTCACCTTGATATGCGAAGATTTTGTTTACTTTTGTGTAAAACTCAAGGTCCCCGAAATCATTATGGGAAGTTGAGTGGAAAATTACTCTTCTTCACGGGGCTACCCATGGGGACATATCCTGTGCGATTAATCTTGATGTGCAAACACCCCTCCTGATTGCGCCTGCTACACATTTCACTTAATCTCTACTCTATAGGCATGTCAGCCATGAGGATAGTGCACATGATCGCAAACACATACACAATTTCTAATCCATGGTAATACCACAACACCACTGCATGAACTGCTGGCATAACAGCCCTTATAGTGCCTTAAGAACAAAATAAGCTTTGCCAAGCTCCAAACTCACGTGGCAACACAACACAGAGCGCCCATTTACTGTAGACTTGACACGAACAAAACGTGTTGACCTATGAGAAATGGATCTTCTGAAAAGACTGATTCTTTGCAAAAACATGAAAACGTGTACTGGCACAGCATTGGAGTCCTGTGACGATGTCAGTGCTAGCCAGGGGTGATAAGAAACCAAGCGCTATTTTGCTCTTTTCCCATACTCATTCCCATACCACCCTCTATCTGCCCCTTCCAAGCTCATGCCTCAGGCGCTCCCAGAGTCAAAAATGTTATGTGTACTGTACAGAGCCCGCAGTTCATTGTACCACCTGACCATACAGGCTAGCACCAACGTGCCAGCATGAGCTGCTGTGCCACCTCACAGTGATGCTTTATGAGAACGGCCAGATTCCTGGAGTCGATGGAGAGCGCCTCAGGAAGACACATGGGCCACTCAATAGAAGCATTCACAGTCCCGGCACGGGGCGCCCAGGGACCTGCAAACAATCAGCAGTCCCAATGGCCGCCTGCCTATTCAGGCCGGCATTTAGCTGCAGGCGTCTGAGCGCCAGGGTCGGACAGGGGTGTGCAGTGGAGGGGGAGGGGTTTCCAGGAGTTGTATACACACCCGTCTTCTCTTTTTTTCTCATAAGAAATTAGCATTAAAATTGGGGACTGAAAGTCAGCACTGCACCCCCCGCACGCATCTGTTGCAGCATGTGTTCTACCACCCCAGTACGTCAATGAGATGAAGGGAGTGCCGGAATAATCAATGTCAAGAGCGTGTCGTATCATCGCTAATACTGTCAAAGAACAAAGTGCGCGTGCAGCCTTCACGAGTGTTGCACTTTCAGTGAAAAAACTGACTTTTGTTGAAGCCACATTTGGATCTGAACCACAAAAGTGAGATGCAACAACTAGAACTAGCCTAACTACTGGTGAACAGAATTAGTGTATTTAAGCATCATCTCTTGGAAGAGATGCTTGAACACAGTTGCCACCATTTTGTTACTATTTTGTTGAGTGCCACCACCATGCTCCACAGCTTGGCCAGTGGCCAACATGCAGAATCTCCTGTGCATCTGTCCATAGGACTGCTGGGACAATGGTTAGGCCCACAGTGTGGAAGGCCAGGCCCAAGCCCTGAGGACACAATGCAAATGTGACTGCATCTCTCCGCTAGCACAAGCTGTCAAAGCCTTTTCTTTAGGCCCACTGCGAAGTGCCAGCTGCAGTGCAAGCTAATCCTATAAAAGTATAAAACAAAGCTGGAGCTGATTACAAGCGGGCCATCTGAACATGTTTGTTTTTTTGGTCACAGGTGTCAAGTACCACATGTCAAAGTGTCACTGTTTTTAACTGGGAGTTTGTGCCAGCTATATATGGCTTAAGATGCTATATATGGACAGTTTCAAAACTGGAAATTTAGGTCACAATCACATGTTGATCATCTTTCCTGTGACTGCTGTGGTCATAACTGACGTGAAAAGGGACTTTCTCTGAAACGGGGAACTACTTGCACCATGGAAATTGACACTTCTCTAAACTTGACAAGATAACCAAGTAAGCTACATCTGCCTGTATTTTGACACCAGCAACACATAGATCCGCTGAATGCCTTATGTTAGTAGAGAGCTAATGTCAGCACAAATTAATTCACAGATCCTAAGACCAGCTCAGTGAAACAGCCGTGTGGTGGCGCCAGTCCTGTTGTGGCATTCCTATCTCCACCTTAAGGTGTGGTGGCCACTTGCTCAATTAAAAAAAGGTTTCTGAGTTAAAGGCATACGCCCTGGCCATGAGGTGCTAACGACTAGCTGTGAGGGTCAGTTAGGGGCGAGAGGGAGGACAACAAATGACCATGATGACAGGAAGAAGGAAATTATTCCCACACTTCTCTGGGAGAGGCTGCACCAAAGCTGGTGCTGAAAGGCGCTCAGAAGGAACTAAGCAAACATAGCTCCTCCTTGTTTACAGTACTTTAACCCTGAGGAATCTCAGCTTGCCACAAGATGTGGAAGAGTAAAAACAGACCCAGCCTACTACAATACTACTACTGGATTACTGAGGCAACAACATGTCACGTCAGCAGTGGTAATAACCATATCATATTAAGGAGCACAAACGAGGCAAAGGGTCTGGGATAGAGACGGCATATCAGTATCGATATTAGACCGATATGAGCAGAAAATTCCAGACTGGATATCAGAGGGAAAAAGGAATTATTATGTTCCAATCCTATGACAAATCTATCCTGGAATAGCACACACTCATATTATGTGACATGATGTTTCCGTATTTCTTTCTGTGGGGTAGTACAGTGCTTGATTAGTTTGAGCATGACAGCCTACTTTTAGATGTTCATTTAAGGTGAACTGCATCAATTAAAAACTTGCTAATTTTAAAGCTTAGAACGTTTTGTAGAAAAAATACTGTATTGGTATTGGCATCTGTTTCAGTATCAGTATCGAATGAGAAAAAGGTGGTGTTTCACCATCTCTAGTCTATGAGAATACGGGTGTTTGTCATTTTAAACAATGTCTATTCTGAATGTTCAACGACAATAGCATATGACATCCTATCTAAATTTTTCTTTTTAAGTTGGTTAGTACTGGGCCATGGTCAGGTGAAATTGTTCTCATACATTTTCAGGACAAATATGCCCTGGCTTTGTAAGAAAAAACAGGACTAACCTACAGTGTCAGGACCAGCAAAATGATCATTTGCTTCACTGTTAAAAAATAAAAGTAATTTCTTTTTGGTTACTGAGGTTAAGGTTACAGTTAGGTTTAATGTTAGACTGAGAAAATTCTTATTACATACAGGTCCTCGCAAGTATATATATATATATATATATATATATATGTATATATATATATATATATAAAACACATTTGTGACCAACGCATGACCTGAAGTCCCCACACTGTTTGAAAACAAACGTGAGTCCATGTTTCTTGGGGGCAGGGAAGGTGTTGTTTTACTGATACTACTGAAGTGTGTCATGCTGGAAAAGAAGCCTTAGCAGGCACTGCATTAGCATAGCAGAAAAACCTTTCACCTGGTAGAGTGGTATTAGAGGGTCTAAGCTCACAGTGGGCCAAAGTCCATTTTAAAGAAAAAAACAGCAGTAAACCAGGCATTCAATGCACTGACGTGTCTTATGTGTGGCTTCAATTAACTTTTAGGTCAGCTAATGGATCAACCGTCCTGCAAGGCAGCTGATGTGAAGCTACTACAGATTAATGTGAATGGCTGTGGACTCTCTCATGAAAGGGGAATCCACTTAGCATAGTAGTAGATAAAAATAGCTCCCAATACTAATGCCACACTGGGCTGTAGACAAAGCCAGGGGATAATACTCTTAACAATTAACAAGAGGGTATTTATTTCCCCCATTCCCACCACACACATGTAACAACACATATACTAGTACTCTGCATATAATCTACAGTCAACAGTGACCCCACAACACATTTTGCAATCAGATTCACTTTATAATGTTCATAAAACGTGTATGACATCAGCCTCACTAAAAGAAGGAGCATTTAAATACTAAGTATTTTTGGATGTTCTTAATCACTGGCAATCGTATTTCTCCAGCTGCTCAAAAGCTTCAGCTTTTAACTTAAAATGCCAAACAGTCAGCCATGTCGTTGTCTATGATGTGGTGCTGCATCACATAGATGTGAAAATCAACATGATACGGATAACAGAATCAACCTGAACACCAAGGCTCTCAGAAAACGCAGTGCAGCAGATTACAAGGCTTCATTCACAGCCTATAATCTCGTCTGGCCTCTTGACACACTTATTATTCACACTAAGACAGCAGCACATTATATTATAAAACACTTTAAAGTAATAAAATGACACAAAGCGAAGCGACACCTGTTCCAGTCAGTGGGAGCAGCGAGCTGAATCTCACCTCAGAGGTGTCTCTCCTGAAAAGCGATTCTTCCTCTTATTTCCTCTCAGAGTCGAAGTAAAAAAACAAAAACAAACTCCAAACGCGTTTCAGCACAAATCGTTCCGCGTCTCAAGCCGAGCTAAAGTCTGGGAGAACAGCGCGGGAACAGGAGACCGCGCGCTCCTCGTCAAAGGCTGATAGAATCCGAATGAAAAGTGAGAGCCGCTCGCGCCTCTCTCGAGCTCCAGAGAATAACTGCTGAGCGAGGTGAAGCGCGCGCTCCGTACGCACAAGCGGGAGCGGACCAGCCAATCAGAGGAGAGCGGAGGCAGATCCAGCCAATCAGAAGAGCGAGAGATGGGCGCTGATTAAAAGAGAAACGCTCGTATTAAAGAGAAAAGAGAAGAGAAAGTGAGATTTGAAGGAGAGTCCCGGAGTGGAGGTGGATTCCGTGGATCTGTGAGGGAAATTTTTCTGTCACAACTGATCCTGGTTTTGGGCAATGAGGGCGTTTATTCACATCAGCCCGCAGGAGTTCACATTTCAACCTCTGTTTCGGGGAAGGAGGGCCTGTGTGCTCTTCTGCTGTGGAGTTTTTGTGGGGAAATGTAAATTTTTATTTTATTTTATTTATTTATTGTTTGTAAACGTTCCCCTTAAATTAACAGAACATGTGTTTTATGATCATTCACATACTGCTTACAATTTACTGCTGAAAGCCAAACATCTTAGACGCTCTGTATTTTTTTATGAAAAAAATTTTTACAGAGCAGATCACTGAAGAGACACCATCTGTTCATAGTTTATAGCCCAGATTTGTGGAAAAATGGGTCAACTTTCAGTAGGTAAAACAAATTGTGAGTTCAGCTTCTTTTATTATAAGGGTTTAAAATTACATCACCCATCTATTTAACTGGAAAGAAGACAGTTACAGCTCTCATATGACACCCACCTTTTGAATGTAGCTTATGAAATATGAAAGTTATGAAGAATATGTTGAAGTGCGTTTTGGAACCACCGGTGGTCTCAAGGAGTTTAAAAGGTTAAAAAAGGAATTCATTGATTTTTCAAAATTTCTGCATAATTAAATGGTTAAGATGTAAACAAAGTCATTCAGAGCGTTTTGATGTGAAATACTCCATTTTAGAGACACTTAACAGTCAGAATTGTTCATAGTGGTGGTGATAGGAACCAGACGTCTGAATATTTTAACGCCTCTAAAAGCCCCTCACAGAAAGTAAAAATGGACACAAATATGCTGCCTGATGACGATGATGATGTTTTGCGATAGTTAAGACAGTTTTGAGATAGGTTTTTGAGCTCAGGTCAGCTAGTGGAGCCCAGAGTCCAAACTAAACATGCTAAATGCAGACAGCATTTAGCTGTTATGCTGATACAACTGGAACAAACTGCCAGACCTAAGATGTACCACAAATGTAGCAATATTTAAGCCCAGGTTAAAAGCATTTCTCTTTTCATGTGCCTAAGACTGAGCTCAAAGACTTCTACTTCATTCTTACTGCAATTTACCTTTAATAATCTAATTTTAATAACACTTAAGTCATTTGTTTAATTCCTTTTTATGCTTTAATTCTACTTTATATACCTTATACTTTCTTTTAATTATGTTTTCTAAGATTTTTATCTGTTTTATCTGTTTTTCACTCTTTAGTTTTCCATTTGCTTTTATTTATGTAAACCACATTCAATTGCCTTCGTGTATGTGCTTTTCACTACAAGGCAAGACTATCCCCAAAGAAAACTTTTTTTTTTTAGATTCATAACTTTATGATTATCAGTGTTACATATACAAACTCAGAAGTGTGGGTTCACTGGTCATTTTGGACATTTCACCACTGGTCAATAAGTTTCTCCACAATGAACTATTTCATATCAAACCACTCTAAATGACTGTTTTCATCTCAACAACTGAATTATATGTATTTGTACACTTTACACTGAAGGCAATTAATAGTACATAAAATAATCATATAAAAAAGAAAATGTAATACTACAGTGGATAACAGATTGAAGACAATTAAAGGTACATAATAAAATAAAAAATAAAAAATTGGTTGCTTACAATGACAATATGGAATAGTAAACAATGACACACAACAAAATAAAAATAAATGTGGAAAAATAGTTATACTAGAGACACTCAACAATATTCCAAAAATGAATAGATAAAATACACTAAAATGCTTGACCGAACACAAATATTGAATAAAATAAAAGCACATGCACATAATGATACAAAAAAGAAAAATGGGTGTCCCACCTTGAAAAAGTGTGAGACACTTGAGAGAAGAAAAGGGAAAAATGAAAAGAAAAAACTCTCCATACAACCTTGTTCAAATACATTAAACATGATCATGTTGTAACCCCAGCTATGACCCATTTCTGCCAAGTTCTAAGTAGGTCAAGAAAACAGTGCTCCAGCCTGTATACATACAGGGCTTTGCTACACCCCTTCATCATTACAGCTTCATACTGTACATCCTCACATCTACTGCAGACTTCACGCTTAAGCACTTCAAGATGAACTCCAATAATCAAGGTTCTTAAATGGTTCTTGGCTTCCATGCACAGTTCTAGAAAAACCCTTTGTTGTGGAGGTTCTTGAAATTTTAAAATGGTTCTTCACACTTACATACATTATTTATAATACCAGATACAGTTCACTGAAAGGTTCATCGTCTCTCCTTGCAGCTCAAGGGATGAGAGGTCATCTGCTTACTTACCTTCAGTAGGTGTGCTGAGAGAGAGATTCTACCACAGCTAAAAAGACTCATTTGGCTAAGACTAAACACACATTTGCACACATACCTACATTGAAAAACAATTTCCATGTTTCGTAGCAGAGCTGTTATTTACAGTAAACAAATAAAGGGTTTTGTGCTGCTGATTAGCTGTGCAGCTGTGTATTACCACCCACTGACTTACTAGTTATTTATCATTAGTTAGCAGTGTTTTAGTTAGACTAGCTAGCTTAACTGCTAAAAGTTTAGGAAGTTATGTTTTCTGATATTATGTTTTAGTGGACAAAGAATAGGAAACATAGTATTTTCACTTAAAAGTGATCTTAAGTGATTACAAGAAGATCTTAACAACATTTTAGCAGACTAGCTAAATTACTAAACATTTTAGAATTTATATTCTCTGACATTAGGTTCCAGTGGATTAGGAACAGGAAACTTTGTAGTACCTTCACTAAAAAAGCTCTCAGATTAAATCTTAAGCAATAACTTTGAAAATGTTAAACTAGTTCAACTAGCTAGCTTGATTACTGAAAGTTATGTCCTGTATACTCATGGATAAAGACCAGGAAACTTTCTAGTATGTTCACCTAAAAAAGCTCTAGGATGGAATCTTAAGTAATTACTTGTGGAAATGTGCTTTTTCACACCATCTTTGAACAGAACAGCAGGGATACACACTTCCTGGAAGTGCAAAACGACCCTGAATCATCTTCTCAATCTGCATCCAAAAAGATCCTGCCAAGCCTAGGTGACAAAGGAAGCGTTCCTTCATGCCTCGACAGCATCCTCACCCATGTAGCTGCAGACCGTGTTAGATTTGACAAAAACAACTGCTCAGAGCTATTATATTCAACACCTACAAGCGAGGGCCCACAGTTACATAACTGCTGGTTAGAATAAAGTATTGTTCTTCATGAATGACTGGAGTGTGGAGGTGTGCGGAAATCAGATAGCTAACGTTTCTTGGAATGAGCTCAGTGAGAAGTGGTTTATTTCGCAGCTCACAAAAAGCACAAGCACACAGCAAGGAGTGTAGATATTTGAAGCGGTACGCTCTGTTTATGGGGGGGAGAATCATTTCTTGGATAATGTTGAAAGGACTGGTTCTGTGGCTAATATGAAGCAATGGCATTGCCAAATATGCTGTTGCCATTCTGTTAAGTCTGCATGGGATGACCTCATTCTGGGGGGGGGGTTGACCTTGTTCCTCCTGGGGTATTCACACTCCTGGTTTCGTGGTCGTTGTCAGAGCATAAGGAATGCAGAAAGTGAGAGAGCGGCCTAAGTATCCAAAGGTTTGAATGGCGTAGGAGAATGCAAGATGGTGGCTCGTCTTGTTTCAATTTTGTTTTTTTACATGATGATTGCGTCAAGATGTGGCTCCTCAAAAAAAGCCCAAAAGATGGTGGTCATAAATCAAAAAATGTTTTCAGTGGAGCTGGCTTTGTGCACCATGTCAACAAAAAAGTAGTACTGAGAACACTTCACAGCATCCAAGAAAAGAAATCTTCATTCTTCATCTTTAATCTTCATTCACTCTTCAAAAAGACATGACATACAAAAATCCCTCTTTCATGTTTGGATAGATGAATGTATTTGGAGAACTGCAACATGTTATTATGCACACGCCTATGACGGCTTTGGATTTAAGAATGGCAGTTGTACATGGAGACTTGGTGCTATAACTCAGGTTATTTTCAAGTCCTTTGATGGTGTTCCACCTTTCTGGGCCTGAAAGGGAGTAAACGTTCCTTTCTTAGTGCATTCATAAAATTATCTCCATTTCAGCATCATGATTTTTATAATATAAAAGCTCACACCTAAGAATCAAGAAAGGCTAAAATTACTGTAATTGCTACATTCATACCCTTATTTAGAAGAATGTTGTCTTCTCCCTGGGGAAAATGTAACAGGAGCTTTGAGGAACACAGGTGAATAAAGCCACAATATCTCATTCAGAGCCATCATTATTGATCATATACACTACTGATTATTTTAAGGATTAGGGTTTTAAAATAAGCCATATAATAAAAAATGGATTTAGGTGAACAATAACAAACTACGCACAGCCTTTAAAGAGTCCAAAACACTTTACTGGCTTTGCAGTGGCTCAACTATCCAAGCTTTCACATTATCATTAGAACAGCATAACTGGCCTCACTCTCTCAGCATGAGGCTACCGTCTGTTAGCTGATGTAACAGAATTGATAGTCAGCATTCTCTTCCCAGCGTGTTGAGCTGTCCAGTGATGTTGCATGAGCAGTTTGAAAAGATACTGTGTCGCAGATAAGCGACAGTGGAAAACCAAGCTAGTAGGGATTGTATGACTATTAAATTTGACTACTTTTTCTAGTTGACTAGTCTTTCAAACTACTAGTCATCAGTACCACATTTAAAAAAAAACTCAGTGTTCTGAAAAAACACATCCAGTGAAAATTATTTTGTTAGCAGCTTGCTAACAGGGGCTGGTTCTAGCAGCAGATG